CTGACTACTCCACTTCCCATCCAGCTCCTTGCTAATGTGCCTGCAAAAGCAGCAGAAGGTGGCCCAGGTGCTTGGGCCCCTGCACCCACGTGGGAGACAAGAAGCTCCTGGCTCCTGGCTTCCACCTGGTGCTGCTGGGTCCTTTGCATTCACTTGGGAGAGTGAACCAGGCAATGGAAGACCTCACTCTCTCTCTCCCTCCCTCTCTCTCTCTACCTCTACCTAGACCTCTCTCTCTCTGCCTTTCCAATAAATAAATGCAAAAATGTAGACATTAAACAGAATAGTTGATGATGATATCAAAAAGAATAAATAGTATTTCTAAGCATTTGAGTGCACACCCTGAAAATAAAGTTAAGAAAGCAATTTCATGTACAACAGCTTTAAAAAGAATAAAAGCCTGGCGTGGCCCAGTCCTGCGTGGATGTCCTTTGCAGCAGTGGGTGGCGGCTTCTGTCCACCTGCTCTCCTAGCTCGGTGCGTGCCTCTGCCCCATGGAAGATTCGGTGGACATGGACACGAGGCCCCAGAACTCTTCCTGGTTGTGAACTAAAGGCTAACAAAGATTCCCACTTTGAAGTGGACAGTGAAAAATCAGCACTTGTTATATTAACGATGTCCAGTTGGTGCTGGTGCACAGGATGCACGTCACATTGTTGAGGCAGAAGCAATGAATGATGCGGCCAGTCCAGTTACAGGCACCCTGGCAATTTTGGAAATGCATGACCAATGGTTTCCCTGGGTGGCTTTGAAATAGCGCCACCCGTGTCTTCAGGCTGAAGTGTGGTTCAGGGCCTGTGCATGTGAGTGGACGGCCCTTAGTGGCCAGGGAGGAAGACGTGGACTCAAGAAGAGGAGGACGTGAGACTGTTAAGCACACCTGGAAGGCAATCTGCTCCTAGGGGTGCAGCAAGGTACCTCAGGAAAAGCAAAACCTGCCGCTGATGGAGGTGGTGGCAATGGAGATGACGATGAGGAGGAGACTGAAGAAGCAGCTGTATAGGAGATACCCCAGCCAAAAGTCACAAAGTCCAGCCAGCATGGGAAGGGCTCAAAACCATCAACGCCAACATCAAAAGGTCAGCAATCCCTCAAAAAGCAGGAAACACTCCTAAAGCACCCAAAGGACCTGGTTCTGTGGAAGACTTTTTTTTTTTTTTTTTTGACAGGCAGAGTGGATAGTGAGAGAGAGACAGAGAGAAAGGTCTTCTTTTTGATGTTGGTTCACCCTCCAATGGCCGCCACAGCTGGCGCACTGCGGCCGGTGCACCGCACTGATCCGAAGGCAGGAGCCAGGTGCCTCTCCTCGTCTCCCATGGGGTCCAGGGCCCAAGCACTTGGGCCATCCTCCACTGCCTTCCCGGGCCACAGCAGAGAGCTGACCTAGAAGAGGGCAACTGAGATAGAATCTGGCGCCCCGACCGGGACTAGAACCCGGTGTGCCGGCGCCGCTAGGTGGAGGATTAGCCTATTGAGCCGTGGCGCCGGCATGTAGAAGACATTAAAGCTGACATGCAGGCAAGTGTGGAGAAAGCTGGTTGTCTTCCCTGGGTGGAAGATGAGAAATGCTTCCAGGGACTGACCAGGAGGCCAAGCGAGATCTCTCTGTGGAGGACGCCTCCGAGAAGACAGTTCATGCAGTTGGTGAAAGTTTTCCATGTGACTTCATTTCTGTAACAGTTGGTATTGGACTGCCCTTTTTATAGTGGAGGGTGAGAAGTTTCCCTTTTGTGTTGGATCATGTTGTCCATATTCGATGGCCAAGAATGTGTTGATCAAAATGCCTGTTTAGGGGGTCAGTGCTCTGGTGTAGCAGGTTAAGCGGCTGCATGCAGTGCTGGCATGCCACGTGGGCACGGGTTCCAGTCCCAGCTGCTCTACTTCTGATTCAGCTCCCTGCTAATGCACCCGGGAAAGCAGCAGCAGATGACCCAAGTGCTTTGGCCTCTGCACCCATGTGGGAGACCTGGCTGACTTTCCCATCCCTTCTCCTTTCCTTGGGGAAGTACAATGAATAAATGAAGACTGATTGGTACTGAAAAAAAAAGCTTACCATTAAAAATAAATTAATAAATAAATTTGTGGATGAGTCTGTAGAAAAGTGCACTCAGGTGCCAAGGCCACGCAGAAGGCCAGGTGGCTGGATCTACTGTGGAAGGCAATCCCCACCTCCTCCTGCAGAAGGCCCCAAGACAGAACCTGTTCTCCATCCAAGAGGAAGCCTAATGGGAGGAATAGGACACGAGAAGGCAGGATGAGCTGACCACACAAGAAGTGCTTTCCTTGAAAAGTCCATGGCCAAATTTTCCAGTGGTATAAAACCCCCAGATGACTTCCTTTCACAACTTTTTCCTGGGAAAAAGCTCCTCCTGGTTGTTTCACTGGGAACTTTGCCCCTTAGCTTTCAGTCCCTCTGTACTTTTCAATAAAATACTTTGCTAGCAATCAGCTCGTTTGCTCGTTCATCTGCCTCATGCTTTCTCGTGGATAGACCAGTTCCTGGGCTTCATATCAGCAGGAGCCATCTTGATGTATGGGCGGGGGTCGAACCCTCCACTTACCACTGTAGCAGGGCCATGGACAAAGGGCCCTTGTCCCGAGTCCTTCCCTATCCATGCCCTAAAGGAATTTGCTTGCCATTCATGTGGTTGTGTGAGCTGCGGGCCTGTTGTTTGCCAAGGGGCTCCTATAACTGAGTTCTCCTGTCGCCACAGGTTTTCTGAAAGTGGAGATGGCAGGGAAGACTCAGGTCGTGTTCCTCAATGAGGACGTCACCATCTACTGTAAGATCCCCGGTTCCCCACTCCTGGACAGCAGCATCATGGGTGTCATCTGGTTTCGGAAGATTCGAGGATCGGAAATGGAAGCCAGGCTGTATGAGTATTATGGCGGTCACCAAGCAGCATTCCGACCTGGAGCCAGCGTGTCTCTTGAGCTGCTGGAGAGGGGAGACGCCTCACTGCGGCTGCCTGGCATCCAGCTCAGGGAAGCCGGAGAGTACCGCTGTGAGGTGGTGGTTACCCCCCAGAAGGCAGAGGGCGTAGTCCAGGTGGAAGTTGTGGGTGAGTGTCCTAGGGCAGCGCCCTGCGGTTCCTTGCCCTGGTGCTGGGGCTCGGGTGGAGCAAGGCTTAGAGCAGGGGCCCGGGGATCAGACGTGGGTTGAGTCCTGGGCTTTGGTAGAATTAGACAACCTTGGGCAAGCTATTAGGCATTCTGAATCTCAGTGCCCTTTTGTCTGAACAAGGGGAGTCGTCTGCCCGGGAGGGCTGTTGGGAAGATGCCATGAAAACACGCAGGGGAAGTGACTGTCAGGGCACAGCTTCATTCCCTGTGCGTGGGCAGAGAAAGGCGGCCATGGTGATCATTACGTTATTCCCATATGGGGTGGGAGTCAGTCTCACTGAAGAGCTACCTCGGAAAGGAGAGGGAAGCTGGGCTGTGGCTCTCAGAAGTGACCCCCATGCCAGCTTTTTGCTTCCACACTGAGTGCATCTGTCATTTAATATCTTTGGGCCTGGATTTCCCAATACAAAATGGGCCATGTGATAGGACAACAAGTGCAAACCTCCAGTTGAGTGCCTGAAGTGAGGAAGAAAAGTTCCCAGGACAAAAACATCCCCTGAATCCATCCTTGAGCTCCACTGTCTTCCAGTACAAAAAGGCCTGATGCACCCTGGTGAGAACGTAGAGACAAGGGAACCCTGACACGCTGTTGGTGGGAGTCAGTTACCATGGCCATTAAGGGGACCAGGGAGGAAGGTGTTCAGAGAAAGGCAACACAGGCCAGGGTTTGGCTTAGCGGTGAAGATGCCCACATCTGGGGCCTGGATTGTATCACAGTGGGTTTTGCCACTGGCATTCCATATCCAGAGTGTTGGTTCAAGTCTGGCTGCTCCACTTCCAGTTCAGCTCCTGGCTAGTGTGCCCAGGGAGGCAGTGGAAGATGGCCCAAGTGCTGGGGCTCCTGCCATGCATGTGGGAGAACCAGGATGGAGTTCCTGGCTCCTCGCTCTGGCCCAGCCTATCCCGAATGTTGCAGTAATCTGGGGAATGAAGCAGTATACGGAAGCTCGTTCTTGCTCTCGCTCTCATTCTCTCTCTCTCTTTCTCTTTCCCCATCCCTCTCCCTCTCCCTCTCCCTCTCCCTCTCCCTCTCCCTCTTTCTCTGTTGTTTTACTCTTTCATAATACATATAGAAATCTTTAAATGAAAGGATGGAATGCCATGTGCAGTAAATGGATGTTCTTGGTGGCAATTATGGTAAGTGAAATAAGCCACAGATTCACAGATATGCATGTTTTCTGTCGTATGTGAAGTTTAAATATATATATTTGGAAAAGTGACCTGATAATATGTGGATGGACTTCGTGGGTATGTTGCTGGGGCTGCCATAATGAAACACCTGTGACTTGGTGGCTCACACAAGAACGTGTGGTTTCTCGCGGTTCTGAAGGTGAGGTGTCACGGGTGTTGGTTTCTTTTGGGCCCTCTCTCCTTGGCTGTTCTCTCCCTGTGTTCCTGTGGTTTCCCTCTGTGCATTGTGTCTGGGTCCTGTTTCCTCGTTTGCTAAGGACCCCAGTCAGATTAGATGAGGACCTACCCAAGTGTTCTCATTTAAGCTGAGTTTTCTCATTAATACAGTCTCAGTGTGAGATGCTAGAAATTTGCGAGGCATAGTAATTGTGGAGGGACACAGTTCAGTACTAATAAGGGAACACTGTCTGTGAGCCCTCCGTGACTGTACATAGGACCTTGAATATTGTGACATATTGACTTTGGGAGTGGGGATATATGTTAGTTAGGATTCATTTCCTCTGCACCAGACAGAGAGCCAAAAACAATGATTTTTGAAAAAGTAATGGACTTTATTTTTTTCTAGGAGAGTTTTACATTTACTAAAAAATCTAAAAAATTAAGGCGCTGGCCTGGGGATGTAGTGTGTTAAGCCGCTGCCTGCCATTTGCGCATCCCATATGAACACCTGTTCAAGTCCTGGCTGCTCTAGTTCTGGTCCAGTTCCCTGATAATATACCTGCAATAGCAGCAGGAGATGGCCCACGTGCTTGGGGCCCTGCACCCCAGTGGGAGACCTGGAAGAAGCCCCTGGGTCCAGGCTTTGGCGTGGACAGCCCTGGCTTTTGTGGCCATTTGGGGAGTGAATCAGCTGATGGAAGTTGCTCTCCCTCTCTGACTCTCCCTCTCTGTCTTTGTAATTCTGCCTTTCAAATTAATAAATTTAAAAAAAAAACAAAAACCAGCCTCTAGTATGCATAGCTATTTAGTTTGGTGTGATTTAAAAACTTGTAAAGCTAATGCACAGCCCTTGCCCCATTATTGATGTCTTGTGTTAGTTTGGCACACTGTTCGTTAAAGATGTATGCAGGCAGCTGGGTCAGAAGTGCAGCGGCTGAGCCTGAAACTGGTGCCCATATTGGATGCTGGACCACAGTCAGCAGCTTTACTCACTACACCACGACGCTGGCCCCAGTGTGCCACATTTCATCCAAGTTTTTTATTTGATAGCAGTGAGCTGTCACTCACTGGTTCACTCCCCAAATGCTCCCAATGGGTTGAGAGAGGACCGCAGCCAGGGCTCCCATGTGGGTTCAAGGACCCAATTGCCTGAGTCATCACTGCTGCCTCCTAGGTGAAGGGGAGAAGGATGCTGAAGGGGAACGGGAGCGACGGCCACGGCCCTTTTCTTCAGGACACACTTCTATTTAGGCAGGCTTTCTGCAAGTTGCTCTTGCCACTTTTGATTGTGCCTGGAACCCTCAGACCCTAATTCACATGGCCACGCTGACTTGCAGTGGAAGCTGGGTGATGTAGCTTTAATCTGGATGTATTACATCTAACCAAAAACACAGACTGGAAATTAGGCAGCAGTTAGGATTCTGTACCACTACAGTGCTCCAAGATTTTCTGCAGATTCTCCAAGGTGTGCATGATGCAAAATAGCTAAGAGACTCATGGAGCGCTGGCATGATGACGGTTAGGTGAATGTGAGTGCCATCAGTTCACTCCCCTCTCCTGCGGTCGTGCTACGTGTCAGACCTCAGGCTGGTCATAAGCTTGTGCTTGCCTCCCTTCAGGGAGCCACTGTCTGGTGTGGTACATTAGTGCTTCGCAGCATGACAGGACTGGGCATGGCTGCAGAATTACCCAACCTCGGTCTCGGTCTTTAAGCAGAGTGGCCATCTCGTGGATCTGGTCCCGTCTTGGCCAGTAGCAGTGATGGACAGATGTGTGGGCACCAGGAAAGTCAGTTAGCAGAAGCTGTGAGGGCAGGAAAGGATGGCTGAGCTCTGGGCCTGAGGCTGTGTGACTCCTCTCTCCTGGCAGCTTCTCCAGCTGGCAAAGTAACTCTGGACCAAGCCCCAACGAAAGAAAACAGATACGCACGTGTGGTGTGCAAGACATCTGGGTTCTACCCTGAATCCATTACCATAACTTGGGAGAAGTGGACCCAGAAGGCTCCCCAGCACCTACAGATTTCTGAAGGCGAATTCAGTGGCCCTCCGGTCAAGAATGAGGATGGGACGTTTAATGTTACTAGCTACTTGACACTGAAGTCCCCAGTGGAAGCTGATGGGGCCATCTACTGCTGCGTGGTGGGACATGTATCCTTGCACACCTCCCAGCGGTTCAGTCTTCCAGTGACTGAGACAGGTAAGCATCTTTCTGGACATGGCGCTTCCTGCCACCTTGAGGGAGGGTAACTTAAATTGTTGGATGCCTCAAGGATCTTTTCTTGGGATTGACAGGGAAGGAGAGAAAGCTTGGGCTGGAGGGAACAAGCTGGGGTCAGGCCCTTCCCAGCCCCGAATCCGCAACCCAGACTAAATCCCTACACCAGATATCTGGTCAGTAGAGGGTGGTGATAATAGAAACAGGGCTGCTCATCAGCTCATGGCACCTTCAGGGTTAGGTCTGAATGGTCTGTGTGGCTTGGAGTGGGAAGCTGGCCTGATGATGGGGGATGGGGACAGGATCCTGCCCAAATCCCCTACAGAGAAGGGGCTAGCAGGGGCCAGGAACCAGCCTGCAACATCCCTTCCAGCAGGATCCAGATCTACTGTGAATGTTAGCTGGCAGAGGCCAAATTAGAGGTCCTGTCTCATGGGCTGAGTCCCCAGGATATATGGCCATCATAGAGGGGTCCTACAGCTGCCTGGGGCTTTGCCCAGGCTCACCGGATCCTTAGGACAACACAACTCAGGACAGAGCCCCTCCTGCTGGAGGTTTTTCCTCATCCGGGGTGACCTGATCAGGTCTCTAGTGTTGGGTAGGAATGACTCTGCTTGGCAGATGCATCTTCCTGGAGGTAGGAGGGGTAGGGAAGGCAGAGGTCCTGGGGGATGTTTGTCTAGGTGTGCCAGAGAGGACCTTTCGTGCTCCTAGATGGGAAAGGAGTTGTTCTTGGAAGTAAGGGTATGTGTGTGTGGTGTGTTCCAGGTTGTGCATGCTTGTGTGTGGGAAACAAGTGAATAGGAAATATGCTGTGTGTGTGTGTGTGTGTGTGTGTGTGTGTGCTGGGGTATGGGAGGTATGTGTGTAAGTGTGAGAAGATGAAGCGGTGGCTACAGAAGCTCTGAAGACACTTGTTGCATATGTACGTGTTATGCGGTGCCCCATATTACAGTGCATTTCTGACAAGGGCTGAATACAATGATGTGTCAAGGTGTGTGTGATGGGAATGGTGATGCTGAGACACGTGGCAGAGGGCAAATGACACAAAGCACACAGGTCCTAGCAGCAGTTGGGTGGTCTTATTGGCTCTTGCAAATAGCTTTCTCTTAACGGTCTTCTCTTTCTCTCAGCAGAATCTGCAATGGGAAACGTCTTTTGGAATAATTTCTACTCTATTCCTGTGGCAACTGTAGTTATTGGACTGATTTTTTAAATTTTTTATTTTTATTTTAAAAGATTTATTTATTTATTTGAAAGTCAGTTACAAAGAGAGAGGAGAGGTGGGGGGGGTCTTCCATCTGATGGTTCACTCCCCAATTGGCTGTAATGGCCGGTGTTGCGCTGATCTGAAGCCAGGAGCCAGGAGTGTCTTTGGGGTCTCCCAGTTGCTGTCAGAATACCAATGCATGCAGCAGTGATATTAGTTGACAAAGAAGATGTGGTACAAGGGGTTAAGGTGCTACTTGCAATGCCAGCATCCCATATCAGAGCACTGCATTGAGTCCCAGCTGCTCCACTTCCAACCTGCACCCATGTGGGAAACTCAGATGGAGTTCTGGCTCCTGGCTTCAACCTGGCCCAGAGCATGTAACTATGGTGCCTCGCAGTCATGGACTGTCCCCTTCACCCTGGGGTCAGCCACATGACTTGCTGCAGCCTATGCAATGATCCAGTAGTGAATATGTGCTGGTTCCAAGCCCGGGCCTCAGAAGGCCTTGTGCATTTTTCCTAGAGAAGGACTGACCCAGGCTTGTCCTCTGGACGACAAGAGAAACAGGAAGCAGAGCCATATCATCCAAATTGCAACTCACGGACCCGGGCCTCGTTCAGAAGACAACTCTCCAATGCCATGTGAACAAATGTACTGAAATCAGCAGAGCTGACAGAGCCAACTGTCAGAGGCATCAGAAACATTTCTTTAAAAAGCCAGTGCTTCAGGTTGGCTTGTTATCCAGCACAAGTAACTGATACAGCTCCTCAAGAAACAGTATTTGACCAAAGGAGTATGGTAGCCACAGAGGTGTGGCTTACCGAGACCCTGTTTGGGAGGCAGCCTGCTGGGAGCAGCGTAGTCAGCCAACGTGTGCCAGCCATAGCACCTCAGGTCTGCTGCAGTGTTTGAGCTGAAGCCACATCCACTCTGGACAGCTCCAGCTCCACGCCAGGAGCCGCCTCTTGGAGTGGCCCAGGTGGTCTCTAGCTATAGCCTGAGGCCCTTTCCCCTCAGTCTTCCCTCCTGCCTTCTGCCTCTCTTCACTCCCATATTGGTCTGAGGCTTTTTCTTCCTACTTGCTCCTCCCTTTATGTTTCACAGGAATTACCCTCAGTAACTCTCCATCTGCAGAACTGCTTCCCAGAAGACCCAGTGTGAAATACTGCAGTGGGGGAAATGATGAGTGCATGGCTTCTTTGAGGTGAAGGCCATGGGCAGGTCTCATCCAGACAGGTGGCAGAGACCAAAAGGTTTTAGAGAATGCAAAAGTAGTTCAAATGGCTTTTTGCAATAACCCAGAGAACCTGCCCCAGTGGGGACTGCTCAAGCCGCCCTCTGTGAGGCACAACTACAGAAGACTTTCATTCTTCTACTTCCAAGATGGGTGGGAAACCAGAGGCACAGTAAGAACTGAACAAAATACAATGAGAGTCTCAGTCAGAACTGGACTGTATTTCTCTGGGTTATCTGGCGACTATCTCCCTACCTCCAAAACGATGGTGCTATAAGAACAACTCAGGGGCCCGGCATTGTGGCATAGCAGGTAAAGCTGCTGCTTACAATGCCCGTATCCCAGATGGGTGCTTGTTTGAGACCCAGCTGCTCCGCTTCCAATCCAGCTCCCTGCTAATGCTCCTGAGAAAGTAGCAGAAGGTGGCCCCTGCACCCATGTGGGAACCCCGGAAGAAGTTCCTGGCTCTTGGCTTCGGCTTGGCCCATCTTTAGATGGAAGATTCTCTCACTCTTCCTCTCCCTACCCCCCAACTCTG